AGCCTGTTGACCTAAGCCTCCTGTTGATGTAAACCTAGTACTAATCTAAACTACAATTGATCTAAACTAACTGTTGATATAAGCCTCTTTTTGACTGTTGATGTAAGCCTCTTTTTGACTGTTGATGTAAACCTACTGTTAATCACATAGGCAGCAGTATTACAGTATTTCAACTTTCCAATCATTAATGTACGCCAGCGTTACATGTGTGAGTGAACTGTATACATCAATTTCATTCGATGCTGCACGTAGCTATACGTTTCATTGATGGCACCAGATACATTACATGTGACATCTTCATCTAATATTGCCTCTCAATATACATACAAATGATATTTTCCTGTAAAATTGGTAATACTGAGAACAGATATGATGAAATGATGTAACAAAATGTATAAACATATAGTAACTTTACAAGAAAGAACTACTAAGGAAGAAAATATCGTGCGGTCCTTTTTCGTTTTCATTTTATTAGTTTACTTCACTTTGCCAATATTCAACATCATCATTAATAAAAGGATGTGATTGTTAAAACGTCAAAAGATAAAGCTGATCAAATGACTGTTGTATACTGTGTACAGTCAGAACATGGAGGATTAAGATATTTGCAATGTGTCAAAAACTGAAAATTTATAAGGTTTATTTTCGATTAAGTAATATGGAACTGAGTTGCTGATACGAATCGACTATGGCAAACTGTTTTGACAAAATAATATTTCAAATAACAGAAAATAATAATAATAAAAAATGGGAATTGAGTTTTCATGAAGAGAAAATAGTTATTTTTAACGAAAGAAATATTTCGAAAAACGAAATGATGTTTGGAAAAAAACTTATCTATAGCAGAGGTCTCCAAAAATACTTTGCTCTGACTAAAATTTCAATCTGTCGCCTTTAAAAATGATTTTTTGAATTATCATATACCGATTACTATTTTTATGCAATGAAACAATAGACAATCAAAACTTGGATAAACGTGAATAGGATCTAAAATAAGGCTTCATATCATAGGCGGTGTGAAACGACTCTCTGAAAGGTTTTCCACGTTAGAGGACAGTGCTAGCGGTATGTATGACTATAAACTACACAGTTACTAGGTGTAAATGGAATTTGATTTCACTGTTAAAATATTTAAGCCTTTACAAAAGTATATATGAGATTGACAATACGGATTCTGAATCGTTATTTTTTCATTTCTTATATGTTTAAAAACAAAACTCCTTAAAAGCACAACACTACCTTTTGGACTTTGCTTTAAAAATGTAATTTTCCTTTATTGATTTAACCCTTAGTGGCGGACTCCTCTCCCTTTTTACTTCGTGCACACACACCTAACGCTTGGTAACTGTTTATTAACGTCAGACTGTTATAAATGCACGTGTAGCCTTATTGAACAGCTATTTTGGACAGTCAGTTCTATCATTGTCATTAGAGTGATGCACCACTTTATTAGTTATTTTGAAAACCTTAATTAAGTATTTTTGGTGAATGTCTCTAATGATTTTTGGAAAATCCGCAGAAATAAGCCTTTGTTTACTTCAACAAAGGTTCAACAACTTATAGTGAACTTGGTTTGAGAAATAAATAAAGGGCTTGTAATCAACTATGAATTAAAATGTCGTGATGATTTACATTGGTTAATGGACTTTTATTAACATCAAAATTCTCAAACGTAATGTTATTAGAGTATAAATACATAACGTGGTCGGGTGGCGCAGTGAAAAGCGCACTCGCCTTTCACCTAGACGATCGGGGTTCGATTCCCTGATCGGACGTGAAAATGTATGGGATCTCCTGCCTGACTACTGTACTAGGTTTTCTTCGGGTACTCTGGTTTTATCCCACATTACGATCCCCTGCGCGCTACCATCCAGGCCAACAAGAAATATTTAAACAAGTTGATAGAACGCAATGGTTGTAAACGAAATAGAATTGGACTGTTTATATTCGGTATAGATACAAAATTCCTTAGAATTTAAATTTATCTGAAATGCATTTTTTGTGAAATACGTGTATTCTTAGCATTATTATAAAGTTTTTGTCTTGCCAGTTCATTTTAGAAAATACAAAGCTGAAAAACCGTGAAACAGATCATATGGCTTGACATATACGTATGCAAATAGTTTCATGATAATTCAAACCAAAACAAAGCATGGCATAAGATAGATCTTAAATATTTTTACTGAAAATATGTCACAAAAGAATTCACATCAGGTTTGCAAATTCTTTAGATTTGTTTATATATAAATTATAAGCAAGGTCATTCCTATCAAAACGGAATGTTTCAAGATTTACTTTCCTGTTGATCATACTCTTTGTGACTATCAATAAACGAATATATCTCATGTATCATAACAATGTGGAAGAATATACAATTGAGTTTAGAATATTTGTTATGAGGCATTTGTTAGGGTAACAGTTTAAGCCATAACTAATAATACGTGCATCATACTCTTGTGAAGTGACATCAAATTCGTTATCCGGCCTTGACATATTTACCAAACAGTCAGGCCAAATCCTATAGAGATTAAATAACCACACAACCAAGGCACTTACTTTACTGCATCCCGTATGTACTATGTGTAGACTGCTGACGGAATCAGCTACAAAACTGCTTTTATCTGTTGACATATATCTGCCCTTGTCAACATATCTACGATCTTTCACGTGAATGGAAATACGTTAGAACAAGGAACAATGAACATACATGTACGAGGCATGTGGGCAAAATCTCTCATAAAAAAAGTTTAGAATTAGTTTGCCCACTGAAAATAAATCCTGCACGCATGCCTCGTACTGTACATGTATGCTCATTGTTCCTTTTTCTAACGTCTAGAATTTATTATTCAGCTCCGATCATAAGTCCACCAGTCGTGTAAAGCAAAGATCAGCAACATATACATACCAAACTCGCGCGACTTCAAGATGCATGTACCTACTTTTTGTCAAAATTATCAAATCGTACAGAGCATTTTACAAGTTGTTAGAATGAAGCGAATTCCGAGTTAACATGCTGTCCAATGATATAAGTGGTATCAAAGTACCACGGAATACTGTCTGGGAATACTAGGCAAATTAAATATTTATGTCAACCAAACTTTGCCTTTTTACAGATTCGATTAATCTCTCAAGATATGTTGAAGTCTAAGTACTGAAATTGTAATACTCTCAGGCAAACAAAAGCTAAATGCGTATCTAAACAAGTGATTAAATAATCTCGATTGTCAACAAATCCCTCATTCGAACTGAGAATCGATAAAACCAGGCAACATATGAATGAAGTACAGGTTTACATGGACACCCTTGAGACAGTACAAGAAGACTGATACTAGGTGTTTCGTAAAGGTCATCGTCTGCTGCTTCTTCGCCGAAAAGTAAGAGAACGGTACTGAGCCGTTATAATAGTGTATTTAGCTATTTGTAAACTGCAACATGGTGAATGATGCATGTTGGAATATATGGTCAGCCAGTCGCTACATCCACTTAGTTAAAGATTCATAACAAAAAAATACAAACAGCAAATTACACTGTAGACTTGGAGAATTTCTGGCCGCAGTTACGATTCACGAAATACTACAAATTCACAGATTATATAAAGGACCCCCCAACCCCCCCCCCCCCCTCCATTTTTTAAATTGTTCAACAGGCTTCGAGCAGCAACATCCGAGATAGAGATATGCATGGGCATGGATACGCTCAAATTCACATGCGCAAATAAAGCTTCTAGCTGATGTTGACCGAAGAGGAAAGACTTGCACAAGACCAAAATGTCAAACACCTAAACTCATTCAGGATTATCACTTTAACTAAACTGGTGTTATCATACAATTGATAAACCTTATTAGTGGTAGCTAATGATATCGCTAGAAATGCTACATTTAGTGGACGCACTTTGTTAATTAACATAGAACTAATTAATCATACGATTACACTTTGGCATATACAAAATTGAATGAATAATGATTAGCTATGCTTAATACATAATCGAGTGAGTTTGTAAATTACGAGCTATTTAAAGAAGAATTTACTTCAGCACAAACCTTTTGATGGTCATGTTATTGAAAGGCAAATTTTCCAAATTACACTCCGTAAATAATCTGGCATTCCGAATTAACTTAAAAGAAATTATGATCTGCCAACAACGCCATTCCGGAAAACGTGTAAAGGTACATTCAAGTTGCATACACTATCGCGATATTTCGACGTTTCATAACATTCAGCTTTGGTTCTTATTAGTCTTCAGATTTTGGTCGCTTCAAATACTTAACTGATGTCGCGATGTCCCATACACTTCCTATTGATTAAGTCAGGCATTGAAATGTTTGCCTTCGAGGATCGACGGCTTTAGTTTGGACGGGGATGAAACTTAATGTCTCTCCGTGTTTTGTTTTATAATTTCCTCCACTTTGTTTATCCTGTCTTTAAAAGTATACAAATCGTATCTAAAGTTCTAAAATTGAAAAAATGTAGTCAATCATGATTTAAAAAAATAATCTTTCGACTGGCGAATTACATAACCAATTATCACAAACATGAGATCTGGTTTCTTACAGATGGCTCGGATAGAATTATAACGTCACAAATTGAACGTCGCAACGCATTATAACTTAAAAGTGTAAGATAGGTCTAATGCAAACATTGGCACGTGGCCTGAGAGTCTTCAAATATGTGCTTTAGTTATATAAGATAAATAACCTCAGCTACAGTACCATGTTGTTATCCACAGTGCTTAACGATGGATGCATGTGACCCAAATATGTGTCACAATGATATATAATTGGCTCCAGTTGTCCAACCAAATACATCCCCAACTTTACACACTAACAGAGTTTAGACGAACTGTAGTTTTACCTTTAACTGTCAGGCAATACGATCAAAATAATTTACCAAGTGTAACCATGGTTGCTGTGGCTAAGATAGTTTCAATGTTCCTTTTACTAGGACTAACATTTGGTTTTGGAATTACACCACTATGGCTTTTAAAAGTGATGTCAAACAAAATGAAAAACCTATCCCGCCTCCAGCACTTTGTGAGTTTGATGAACTGCTTCGCCGGAGGTGTCTTCCTTGGTACATCCATCCTCCATCTTATACAGGAGTCCATGGAGACGGTTGCTGAGGCAATACCGGAAGTGGACTTTCCATTGTCAGGGGTGCTCATCGGTGCGGGATGATATTTCATTGTTCTAGGACTGGAGCATATCATTGGACTGGCCAGTAAAGGTGACGACAGTCCCTTCCTTGACCACGGACACAATCACGGTACGAAGGGAAAAGTTTCACGTGATTATGCTCTCAATGTACCAGAAGGGGATATCCTAGCCCGTACAGATCCCGAGTCCATCGGGGAAATAAATTCAACCTTTCAATCGGATGAAAAGAAAAATGGAGAGTTACGTACTGAAGCTTTCTGTACACATGGAGAGACCTCTTTCAGTAAGGATGAAACAAACGCAGCAACAACACAAACAGTGACACACGCCATTGACGACACAAAACAGAAATCAGCCGTTATGGACATATCCGGTGATGGTCGTTCTAAAACTACCAAACGAATCCGGACCATTATTCTTGTAATCGCGCTTTCTATTCATATGATATTCGAGGGGATGGCGATAGGTCTGCAGGACAGCGAAGTCAGTACGTGGACACTCATGGTGGCAATTTCCATCCATAAGATAATTGTTGTTTTTAGCGTCTGCCTGAAGATGAGAGAAATTATCGAAAGTAATATTCAAATCATAATATACATCCTTTACCTGGCGTCAGTTTCTCCGGTTGGAATTGCCGTTGGTCTGGCTATTTCTAGTTCCGGTTCCGCAGGGTCTGCCCAGGAGATCAGTTCCGGTGTTCTACAGAGTCTTGCGGCTGGAACATTTCTTTATGTTACCTTCTTTGAGATTCTCCAGAAGGAACTGTCCAACGGTTACAGTTTGTTTAAAGTGTTTCTGACGCTGCTTGGATTCGCAGTAATGGCTGGCCTCAAAGTTTTAGACAAAGACTGAACTGTGTAGTTTAGTCTCCATTGAAACCCTGAATTAATTGTTACATTTTTCACAAAGTGAAACGATAATCTTACTTGAAGAAAAGTTTTGGTAAGAAAAAAATCTATTTTATGTTATATATGATGAGATTTTGATTAATTTTAAGATTATAGAACAAGAAAAGAGGGGTTGCACCGATTGTAAGATATGATCCGTAGGGATTGCCCTTAAATATAGTATTTGTCTATAAAGCGTTTTCCTATTATATCGGGAAATAATCTGAATCAATTATCCTCATTTTATAATTTTAGTAACTCATTCAGTAGCTTTAAATGTGTGACAAGATTATAAACTATTAGCTTGACAGTAATAGATGATGTCTCAAAAATATTATAACTTTATGTTTTTGTTTTTAATAAATTAATTTAATCTTACAAATAGTAATTGGCAAAAATATGTACCACATCGTTACATTATTTTAGAATGTATCATAACGATGACCCCCAGACAGCTACTGTCTATATATAATGCTTCTAAGCCTCCTGCAACTCGATACATTGATGCAGAATACCCTATATTGTTCGTTGACCCCATGTAGTGAATTATAAACTCTATACGTACCTTTTTAAAGAAGAATATCAAAAATAAGTTTTGATTCCGAATTCGTAGTTGAATGACCAATTATTACGCAAATTCAATTATGATGAATTTTTGAAGTTCTGAGGTATATTTATGATAAGCTTTGATTTACAAATAAAAATTAACCTTTTTTACAGGTATTTAACAGCATAAAAACAAGACATTTCTACGTGCCTTTTCGCGACAATAGGAACAAGTAAAAGAAAAATCAAATATATTGTATATGAATAAAATGTTTGATTTAATAAGTTTACGCATAGAAATACGATATTTCAATATTATTTTTTCCCTAGAATGTTTTTATTTTTATAAATTTGTTTATCAAAGATATCGATCACCAAAATAAATCAAAACGATTAATGAGCCATCGAGCAAATCATCTTTTAATTGTTTTTTAAATTAAGAAAATTACAATACTATTAAAAAATCACTTTAAAATGCTTTACACTTAAATGTATTTCGATCGACAAAATTGTTTAGCAAAAGCATGGAAGGGTCTCTAATTAAAAATAAAAATGTTATTCCAAGGAAGGCATCTGTTTGTATACACTGCTTTGAGGAAACATTCAGAATATGGCTAATATTCCTTCTTCTGTTCCTTTGTTGTAGAATAATAGTAAATATGCGTTGAAACAACATACACGTACGATGATTGTATGACTTTAAGTACTGTTATGTTTATTTGTATACGGCCAGTATGAGGGTTTGGAGTACTGTATAACTGTGATGCGTTTAGAAGGCAAATGGTACTATAAAATTGCATTATTTGTGTAAAATGATAAGTTTTGTATAAATTATTAATCATGATTTGTTTTTTAATTCCAAAGATTTTGAAAAACATCTTTCATTATTTCGATCAAGTTTGAAATTTGATACATGCGCTTGTGCTTTGTTGTTAATAGCTGCCAAAAGATGATTTTTGATGTTGTGTTCCGTATCATTTATCTTTTTGTTTATTTCTTATTTTTGTGCTTGTTTTTTGTTATCGTTTTTCATTTTCATAATTGCATTTAGCTTGCGTTTTGCCGAAGCGACAGAGGGAATGTGATAAGAGGAGGCATGATTTGTGACATATTGTCAAATATTCATCGTAAAATCTCAAGCATGACGTTTACATTGAATCAAATCTTGTGATTGTTCTCTCGCGAGAATGTCGATATAATTCTAATGTCGACAGATAAACGTCGATAAGTAATNGGAACAGTACCGTTTATCTCGTGTATCTAACTTAATGGGGGTTTTTAAGTGAGAACTATGGTTGTTGTTTTATTGAGAAATGTAAACTGTTTTTCGGTACTGTACTTTAAGAGGTCAAAACTGGCGTTTCGTTACATTGATAGTGAGAGCATGACTTTATCCTGTGTCTGGAACAAATACTTGGGTTTCAAGGCGGACCAGTAGACAACGTAAATAATGGCTGTGATAAACTAATAACCGACTCGGATCTTCTCAGAAAGGTCGGGAGCGGATTGGTTCTTTTTGTTGAATAACATGTTTGTGTTTATGTGTTGGTATTGGTTGCCTATGATGCATTGCAGCTCTCTGCACGGTTACCACGGTAAGTGTCAAGGTCTTAACCATTTGTGACGTCATTTTGTGTCTGTTACAATGTACTGAAAACAAACAATTAACAACAGTTATCGTATAAACGCGATAAGCTTCACTTAACGTGCTTTGTTACAATTGTAAGGATCTAGAGGTGCTACATTGTAGTTGTGCTTTCTTTCCACCGGACACGGGTCAGCATTATAATAAAATTGATATTTGGACCACAATCAAACTGTTTTACACAAAAAAACATGGATGTTATCAATGTGTCCGAATTTAAGTTCAGCTGATACTAAACAAATACATGTCACGTGACTATGATGTCTACAGGTAGATGATAATCTGTAACGGATTTGCCAATCACGTGAATGAGTGACGTGTGTATCAATCATAGGTACACATGGATAAGCATTAAACATTCAGAAACATGAAAGAATACATAAGATAAGATAAGATAAGGACAGATCAGCATTAAGATCAGTCAACTCTTTTGAAATGTGCAGTTAACATTACATAATACCTTTTTGACAGTCTGAATTTGATTTTGCTTTCTTTTACAATTCCTGTGATATACAGGTTCTGACATCGTGAAACGTTTAAAGAGTCTACTAAACGTAGCTGACTAATAATCGTTTTAGGCTTTAGCCGAAATGGTAGGTGCTTCCTCCGAACTGTATCCAGATTTAGAATAGATTTCACTTTACTGTAGGAGCTGATTGCTATGTATAACATATTTCAGTACCAATAGAAAACGTTCTATCTCATATTTTTGCCTGGGCGGTTGGTTTCTTCTTGTTCATCATACAAATAAAACAAACTATTTCAACAAATGTCCGAACGGTCTGTTCAAGGACCAACAAGGTGGTGTTTTATTGTCACCGTTTACATAAGAGGACAAACGCCAATCTGTTTGGAACGAAACTGAACGGTTCATCTTAAAAAGAATCATTTCAATTACAGATGAACTTCCTTGAGTGCCCTTGGAGGTTGTTTTTGTACCTTTAAACACCCGTACCAAAGTTCATAACGACAGGCTATTCAAGGGCGCTATATTTTAGCATGCAGAGATCGTACTCAAATTGCTGAAGTTTTACTATAAGGCCTACATGTACTATCCAGAGTTATCCTATTTCAGGCACACTATAAGTGATGATATTTTGGAACTACAAAAATCCATGGATAGGCAAAATATATTGATATTTTAAGGTTGATTTGATAATTTTGCCTATTCGACGAGGGATATGCTGATTGTCCCCTCACATGCTCGGACATTGGAACTGTTTTGTCGTGCGCAAGAACATTGACAATACTTGTAAATTGTTTCCTTTTTGTCTAGTTGTCAAATAATTATGGGCTGTATAACTAATTTTCATTTCCATTGGTACGTTGGACTCTCGGTGTGCACCTTAATCACAAACTTCTTTTGTTTGCCACAATCATTTACATTTATGTATTTTTCATCCTGAAGCATGTAGGAACGTTTATATTTTCAAACATGTTAATAAAAGCAAAATAATAGAATATACAAATGTATCAAGTTTAAATTTAAAGGTATAATCTCCATTTTTTTTAAGATCTGCTCTATAACAATAGAATGCAATTTTGAACTATAAATTTTTTTATTTGTCTTGGATAGGATTAAAAAACAGATTTTAACCTACATAGTTACAGTAGATAAGGTAAACAAACTCCATTGAACCCCTTAAGGATCATTGTTCCTCTTTAGGCAAACACTAAAGAATTCCTTGGTATAACTCCGTTTAAAATATAACTGACGAGCGATTGGCAGAGAGAGCTACAACTTAGCATAGAGCTCTTTTGTTTATAACAACTGTATTGGGATCGGAGGTCCAGTGTTCGAATCCCAAAGTGATCCCATTGCACTGCAGCATGGCACCGTTTTCGTGTTCTTTTTTTTTAAATTAAAAATTTATAATTTTTATTAAAGGGTCATAATGATTTTTTCCAAAAATTATCTTTTAAAGTTTGTGTTATCCTTGTAAAAGTTCTATAATGTATGGATTTTCTTTTAGAAATTATCTATTAAAGCTATTTTCAACCCTGTAAAAGAGTTAATAACTCATAGTAAGATTTTGGCAGTGGTGTTTGGATTTTAAATTCAACAAGCATTACAGTATCCCATGTAAAACGTTGACTCAGCGCTACCTGATAACAGTGTAGATACTATCTGATCTTTAATGACCAAGTATCCGAGATAAAACCTTGATTTATTTATCAACAGCAAAGTTGTCGCCTTTTTTATAGGGATTCGTCCCCGCTTAAATATGTCCATAATCTATTACATGTACCATTATACCTGGATATATTTGGTGCATTGGGTTTGGCGTACTGCCAACAGCTAAGTTCATTCAGTGTGTGTAGTGTATATGTCTGGTGGCGTATGCTTGTGTAGTTGTCTCATTTGAAAGCGCGGATAGGATCTATACTGTAGAGTGCTACCTCGCTGAAATACCATGCCGAAGAAACCCATCTAAAAGCTGAGCGTCTAGCAAATTGCGGCAAGTAACAAATTTGATGTGTCTCAAATATGGAGACAGAACCATACCCTTTCTTATTTTGGCGATTGCTCAACACTAGACCAAAATCAAAATCGCGGTATTACCACCTGGGTTGACGCTTACCTGCAACGGGTATGGACAGTACTGATATTTGTGTCATTTCTGTACGATTAAATACCATATGTTACTGTATTATAAATAAATGAGTATTCATTATACACCATTGTGGTAAAAGCAACCCCCATTTGTCTAGATTTATTAGAAGTTTTATCACATAATCGGCCTGTTATCCAGTCAGAAATCGATTGTGACGTCATAATATGGACGATGACGTGACGTAATAAATTTTGAATGGCACAAAAAAATGTATGTCTCCTTTTGATTAAGCC